ATGGGCATGGAATGAAATGTCCTCTGAAGTCTCATTGGCCCAGAGTACCTCATCTTTGTGATTGTTTGGTCCCAGCTTCCAACTGGTCACCACACTTTGCTCAGATTGCAAACCCAGGGGTCTGGAGGTGAGGCCCAGATCTACTACCTCTGGCTATGGGATCTTGGGCCAGTAGCTTCACCTCTCTGAGCCTCAGCATTTTTCCCTGTGACATGAGAATGATCATAGGATTAAATCGCTCTGGACATAAAGTGTGGGTTTGGCATCTGCACCAAGGAAGGGGTATCCAGGGAGCACGTGATTCTCATTAGCAGCATGAATGCTTTTGGGGCTGCCTCAGGGGGTACCAGGCAGCCTCCTTGCCCTCAGTGCTGAAACACTGCCTTCCTGGCCCATCTTCAGTCCCCCAGAACCTTGAGGCTCTGTGGACACAACTCATGGTCCCAGCCCCACCTTGCATAGTGTGTGGCCTGGGTGTGACAGGGAAGGCTCTAGACCCCAGCCCACCACCCTGACAAGCTTCCCTATTCCTGACAGCCCAGGTGGCCAGAGCAATTGCTGTCCACCAGAGGGCTGGAGGGTCTTGGGTGCTACAGGGTTGGCAGCTCCTTAGAGAGTGGGCAAAGGCCGAGTGGCCCCTAGGACAGCTGAGCCATCTACTAGGTAGGAGGGCCTGTCAGTCCTGGAAGGGACTTGGTACAGCATGTCCCCTCCCAGGAGGAGGTTCACGTCTGACTCCTCCCATCAGGGCTGGGTGGGGTCAGAGTGATTCCCAAGAAGGGTTTGGGCTGAAGACAGCTAAAGCTGAAGATTTTTGTCTTATAAAAAGGGAAAAATATGGATCCCTGCTCAGCTGGGTGGTCTTATTCATCATTTCATTTCATTTCATCAGCCAGGGCTGATCCCAGTCCCTCTGGGCTGTCTCCCCACTCCCTCCTGTCTGCTCTCAGTTCTCCTCTTATGAACCTCACCTCAGCTGGGTTCCAAACCATTTATCTCTTTGTATGAGACAAATCCTGCCTGGGTTCTGATCCAATACTGCAGCTCACTTGCTGTGTGACCTTGGGCAAGATGTTAGACCTCTCTGTGCTTTGCTTTCTTCATCTGTGAGATAGTCAATAATAATACCTCTTTCAGAGGCAGTGGTAAGGATCAGACACCTGTACGATACAGGTACGTAATGCACAGTTGATGTCAGTCAACGTGGCCTACTGGTTTTAATTAGTCTGGTTGTCTCAACAACCTGCTTTCCCTTCTTTGGCTTCAATTTTTTTCTTCCATAAAATGGGTTGGAACAGCAGTGTGATGTGAGGAAAGAACATAACTTTGGGGTCAGAACAAACTGTTTTGACAGTTCTCCTGGGCCCATCACCTAATGTCTTAGGGGCCTTCGCAAGTTGTGTAAACCTGCCTAGCTCAGTTTTCTGTGTCTATGAGATAGGCCTAATACAATCTCTCCCGGGAGGTTGTTCCCAGAACTAATGAAAACACCCCAAGGAGGGGCAGTGCTGTCCCCAGTGTTGAGAGCATGGGGAGGGGGCTGCAGAGAGTATGTTCCGCGTCACAGGCCCCCACCCTGGCCTGAGCAGGGTCCACCCTCTGAATCACCCACTCTCAGTGGCTGATGAGTCTTAACGAATGCTGAGGTTTGGCCCTTGAGGGTCTGCAAGGTCCCTGGAGTGACGTGAGCCATGACCTCATCTGACGAGAAGCCCAGACTCAGCATGGGCCAGGTCAAAAGGCAAGGCCTGCCTGTAGTCTGGTGAGCTCGCCTGGAGGCTCAGGACTAGCACAGCTGTCTGTCCTTGAAGAGGCAGGGGATGGATGGGGCTGCAGAGTCCAGGGCATGAAGGTGTCCTGGCAGTAGGCCTAGCTGAAGGGTGTACACTCCACTCCCTTCAGCATAGGTAATAGTCCATCTTGTTCTTTGTTGTAAAGAACTTTAAGTGTATGGGGAGGTGTACATGCAAAAGAATGAATGATGGATTGACATGGATTAAGGGTGCCTCCCACCACTGTTAGTGGGCTGAGATAGCACAGGAGAGTGGGCTGGCCCCAGCTCCTGTGCCCTGGACTGACCGCAGAGGATTTGTGTGCTTAGTGTCCCTGGGAATCCAGAGAGTCAGAGGGCCACCACCTTCCTAGAGCATTTCCTGGGGACCCCCAGGTCCTGAAGCACCACTGGGCTGCAGTGGCAGAGGATCCAAGAGAGAATTCATCCCCCCCACCCCACCCCAAGAGGGTTAGAGCAGAGGCAGCAGCTCTACAAGGCTAGGAAGAGGAGGCCTCTGAGATGTTTCATTTCCTGATGAGCACAAGGCAGTATGGGGAAGGGGCAGCAGAGGGCGCTGCTGGCCCTGTCGTCTGCAAAGCTTTCATCCTGAGACTTGTGCTGGACCTCGGCCTGCTAGGGTCACTGTGCTGTGGTGAGCCCTGACTGCCTCTTCCAGGGAAAAATCAAACCAACCCCGGGGCCTGCATCTTGGCTATGGAGTGGAGAAGGGAAACTGAATAAGAATCCTTTCACTCTGGGTCTCAGTTTCCCTTCTGTACAAGTAAACTAAATTCCCTTTGCAAAGCAGTCGTACAGTTCAAGTCAGGTGAATGTTGGGGGCAGGGCGCTCTTGAGGGAGTAGCATAGACTTAACCTGCAGGTGGACCCAAATCTGAGGACAGCCTCCCATGCACTCTGACCTTCCACCCCCCTGCCCTTATTCTAAGGGTCATGATGCCAACCTAGTCATATATTGAGTCAAATAATGTATGCAGAGCATGTGAACTGCCCCAGAACCCCAGAAGCAGCAGTTGTCATCACTTGTAGACCATAGTGGGCTATACAAACTGGATGGCAGCAATAATCAGCCCTAGACCCTCTCTGAGACTCAGTTTCCCCAGCTGTACATGAACAGTTTAGAGAAAATGAAAGCTCTGGCCCTTTCTGGGTCTCTGACTTTCTGTACTGGAGAATCCAGGGATGGAAAAGTGTTGGCCTTTGAGGCTGACCCAGGCCCCCCAAAGAGCCTGCTCTGGATCATGGTGCCCCTCCATGGCACACTTAAGGGACAGGTGTCCTAGACATTTGAACAACTCCCCTTCCCCTCAGGCCTGAGCAGAGATGTGAACTGAGGGGGGCTGAGCCCTGAGGTCCCCAGCCCCCAGTTTTCTGGGTCTTTCCAAGAAGTGGTCCAAAATCCTCCACATCTTCTCAAAGCATAATGCACTTCAAGTTTTTATAGGCAAAATGCAGGTCCGATAGGCCTTTATCAAAGGACCTTTCAGCATGGGTCACCCCAACCCCTTTCACTCCCCATCTCCCACATCCCTTTGGGTCCCATGGGTGCTCACACCTGAGGTCCCCACCTCTTGCCTCCTCCCTTCTCTGACCTCCCAAGAGACACATCTGTCTGATGGGGCCCCTCCCTGGCTGGACCCCTCAGCAGTGCCCAAGTCCTCAGGACACCAGGGTCCTGGAGATCAGATCTGCTCCCCCTTCCCACTCTCCAGACTCTTTACCCCAGCTGCCCACCCTCCTCTGGGCCAGAGACCCCTCCCCAATTCCTACCCTGGGATGTCTGTGAACTTGAATGAAAAACCATCTTTATTTTTTCCACTAACTCCAGCAGAAGTCCAGCACTGACTGCTTCAGTGGTGCAATCAGCCCAGCCACAGCAGGGTCTGTGGCTCCATCCCCCAGGGAAAGTGGAGGCCTTTTCTGTCTCTTTGAACTTGCTGCAGGTGTCCCTGGGGCCCCTCTGCTCAGTGCTCTGGGAAGACTCTGTGAGTGTTGGACCACAGGCCAGATCTTGTTATTAAATGTGCTAACAAAAGAAGCCCATGGATTAGTACATCACAATTTGTGGCTTCATATATTTTGATAGCTGTGTTTTAAAAGACTTGATCCCCTTTGTAATCCTGTGCTGTTTGTCTCATACATTTAAGGACATCATTTGGCAAAGGGCCCCCTGGGCTCCCTAGGCTGCCAAAGGGGCTTATAACACAATAAAGGTTGGAGAACCTGCTTGAGGGACTGCACACAGGCATTGTCTGCTGCCAACTGGCTAGCTGTGTCCTGTGCTTCTGTGTGGGGGGCTGTGTCTGGGTCCTGGTTTGCCAGTTCTCAATCCCATGGCCACAAGTCCAGATCCTATAGACCCTTACGAGTCTCTTCAGAAGGGAAGTTCTGCTGATGTCACCATCACCAGACTCTGAGCCCTGGGGGCAGGCCCAGGGTCCGCAGGGGTCCTTCAGAGGAATGAGAATGGAAACTGCCTCCTGTTCCCATAGGCGGGCTGTGCCCAAGCACAAAGGGCTCAGAAATGCTCCTCAGCCAGGGACTCAGCCGGATCTTCCCGCAACCCTGTGAGGTTATAAAGCAGTATTAACTAACTCCCTGGGCATGGTACAAAACTGAGGCACAGAGCTAGGAAAGGTGAGCCGGAAACCAGTAACCCCTGCCCAGGGCTGGGGAGAGTGCAACCTCTAAGAGCTAAAGACGGGGGAGCCAGACTCAGGGCACATGGGGCCAAGTTCAGACTCTGCTGGGAGTCACCAGTGGGAGATCTGAGCTGCCCACCTGTGAGTGCCCAGGGCTGCCAAGCTGAGGAGGTGTGGACAGACAGCGGGGTGGAGAAGGGGGGAGCTGGGTACAGTCTGAGCTTGTTCATTTCAACGACAGTGGCTCAGGTCACTGGGACTCGCGGTCCTAAGGCATGCGCCCAGGGGTTTGGGCTGGGAGTCCTGTCTGTGTCCAGATTCCCAAACCAAGTGGCCTGGAGCCTGGAGGCCAGCGGGGAGGGGCCTGTGGGGCCAGGGCGGGGCCGGTGGAAGGGTCGCCACCCCCTTCTAGCTGGGGCGGGCCGCCGGTCGCCTTTAAATGCGGCGGGCTCTAGCGCCTGCAGCCGGTGTGTCAGAAGGAGGGAGGGAGTTCGTCTGCTGTCCCCGCATCCAGGGCATGCCCCTGCGGTCCCAACGCCCGTCCGCCTGAGCCGCCTGTGTAGGCGCCCAGCCCCTGGGCGGCCTCGGTATCCTCGCCGGCCTCCGGGCGGTCCTCGCTCTGCGGCCCGCTGTTGGCCTGGCCGCCATGCAGGCGCGGGCGCTGCTCCTGGCCGCTCTGGCCTCCCTGGCGCTGGCTCGGGAGTCCCCGACAGCCCCGTGCCCCGCGCGCTGCGACGTGTCGCGGTGTCCCAGCCCGCGCTGCCCCGGCGGCTACGTGCCCGATCTCTGCAACTGCTGCCTGGTGTGTGCCGCCAGCGAGGGCGAGCCCTGCGGCCGCCCCCTCGACTCGCCGTGCGGGGAAAGCCTGGAGTGCGTGCGCGGCGTGTGCCGTTGTCGCTTGGCCCACGCCGTGTGTGGCACCGATGGGCACACCTATGCCAACGTGTGCGCGCTGCTGGCGGCCAGCCGCCGCGCACTGCAGCTCTCCGGGACGCCCGTGCGCCAGCTGCAGAAGGGCGCCTGCCCATCCGGTAAGCGCTGAGCGGGGAAGAGGGGAACATTTCCTGAGGACACTGAGGCCTGGAGACAGGGCCAAGCTCGAGGTCTCCATTCCCTGGGCACAACTGGACAGCCCTTTAGAAATCGTCTAACCAGTTCTTCGTATCCAGATGGAGATGCTGAGGTCCACAAAAGCGAACTGCTGTTCCCAACGTCGCAGAATTAGAGTCATAAGTGACATCTGATGCCCTCTTGACCATCCCCGGGGACTTTTGGTCTGTGGAGACCTGTGTCCCTCGTCCTCATATCCCTTCTCTGATCGTTCCTGAACTTCAGTCTCCAGTTGGTGTGCTCTCTTGGGCAACACCAGTGTTTTCTTCTGTGGTTAAAATGCATGTCTGCCCGGAACCGTGTGGGAAGAGTGACCATGTGGGTGACTGGACTGCTTAGGGCTCCACAGGGAAAGGCTGTTGAGGTTAGGGGAAGCCTCAGTCCCCTGACCTGCAGTTAGCTCTGGATTGCATCTTGCCTTGCAGATTGACCCTTTGCATGAAGGAAATCTTGCCACCCCTTTCCTTGTTTGGGGGCTCTCTCAGGAAGGCAGGTTCTGCTGTTGGTCCCTCAGGTGCTCTCTGAAGCCTGGCATGGGGCCTCTGTTTGCACAGTGGGAGGACACTCAGTGTCTGGTGGTTACCAGGACAGGCTCTGCGGAACCCTGGGAGCACCATGGGGAGCATTCACTTCCCGAGGCACCTGAGAAACCTTCAGGGGAACATCTAGGCTGATCTTGAAGGGTAAGGACTTATTTTCCAGCAGCAATAGGGAAAGGCGTTCTGGGAAGAGGGAACAGTGTGGGCAAATGCTTATAGGCTTTGCCGTGTTGGGAAGAGCCGGTTGCTCTGAGCAGCTGTCATGTGACTGAGTAGGGCGGACGTAAGGGCAGGAGTGATACCACGGCTGGGCAGGTCAGCAGGGACTGGATGATAAGTGGCCGTAAGCATCATGCCAGAGGGCTCAGACTTGATGCTGTAGGTCAGAGCTTCCCAAAGTTAAGGTCCTGTGGCCCAAAGACTTGGGAAACGGAACACTGTCCCTGTGATAGAGACACACGTGCTTGATTGATCCATCAGAGGATCTGAGGAAGCCTGCAGTTTTCTCAAATGATAAACCCAGGGTTTCCCAAGAATTTTCAACAAAGCTTCTCTTTTCTGAGAGAACACACAAGTCTTCCTCCTGGCACTACAGAGTTGTGGGAAGCCCAGTATGGGAGAGCATCATACGAGATGTGGTATGATTGTGTGGGAGAGCTGTTGAAGGATTTTAAGGGAGGTTCTTAGTCCATTTTGAGTTGCTACAACAGATTTCCTGCAACCGGGTGACTTATAAAGGACAGAAATTTATTTCTCACAGTTCTAGAGGTTGTGTAGTCCAAGACCAAGGCACCGTGGCTTCCCATGGCAGAAGGGCAAGTGGAAGAAATGGCCAAATGCTGCAAGAAGCTTCTGTCAGGGCTGGAGTGGGCTCCTCCATGTTCCTGAGGGGAGGAGCCCTCATGGCCTGATCACCTCACAAGGCCTATCTTTCAATACCAATGGCAGCACTTGAGTTTTGGAGGGGACACTCTCAACCAGTAGCAAGGGTGAGGGTAATAGGTCAGACTTGTGCTACGACTGGGCCCCAGAGGCTGGGGTGGGGGTGGAGAGCTCGAGACCTCAGGGATAGGCATCATAATGTAATGAGTGCCTGTGGCACTCTTGTGGTAGCCCATCCAGTTTGGAGATTGGTCCTGGTGTGCCCATTTCTGGTCTTTTTGAGGAGAGGACTGGCCCCTGCATTCTGCTGGTGGGGGACTGCCTCCCCGGCCCCAGGATCTAGGGGCAGGAGGGAGGTTGGAGTGGTCTGAACCCTCATTGATCCAGGGAGCCCATGTTTATGATGCACCTTCTCTGTGTGCCTGGCCAGCCCTGGGCTGGCAACAAGGGCATGGCAGGGAAACAGGCCCTGCCTATGCTCTCAAGACTTACAGACCACAGGGGAGGACACAGGGAGAGTGAGAAGGGGAGAGTAATTGACGGCCGCAGCCAAGTGCAGTGGTAGCTCAGAAAGGCAGGATGTGGCTGTGACTGTGGCCATATTGGCTGGGGCCTCAGTGATCCCAGATCTGCAGCTCTGTACATCTTTTACTGATGGGGTGATGTCAGGTGGACTGTACAGTTATCCTCAGTTTCCTCCTATGTGAAAGGGGGGTTGCAGCACCCAGGGGAGTGCTATTCAAGGCACGTGGATACCTGCCCAGCTCCTGGTGTGTGACCAGGGACAACTCTGCCTCATTCTATATGTTGTTACCCAATAGGACTGCTGCTGAGTCTGCCTTACCGTGCAGGGTCAGGGAGGCTCCAAGGAGACATACTCGATGCTGGGCTATGGGAGATGTATGGGAACTCCCTAAGCAGAACGAGGGAGGACAGAGTGGGCACAGGCAGAGCAAAGGTGGGTGCACAGAATCCTAAGGGCCAGGGCAACACTGGGGTGGCCATGGGTGCAGGAGGGAGGGCTGACAGGATCCCCACTCCTGTAACTTAGAATATGATACTTTGTGTGGGCTCCTGCTGCTCAGCCCCAGGGGTGCTGTACATGTTATGGCTATATGCCGTCCTGCCACTGTTGCCTGGTGCTCAGGGAACTCAGAACTCCCAGGTCTTAGCAGGGCGCACTACACACACTCTCTGTGTTGGGGACTTGCTGGCTCCTGGCTTCTCACCAGCCCATCTCAATTCCTTCTGCAAGCGGGGTCGCTTCTCAGGCACCACAGACTGAGACCAGAAAGGAGAAGTAATTGGTCTGAGATCACATAGCCAGGCCTAGCCTGGTCTGGCTGGCTTTGAGAGCTGTATTCTTGGGCCCTTGGCTTTCTTCTGCCAGGGTGGCAGGGCCCTGGATCTGTGACTATGGCTATATTGGCTAGGGCCTCAGAGATCTCAGATCTACAGCTCTGTGTACCTCTTACTGATGGGGTGATGTCAAGTTGATTACACAGTTACCCTCAGTTTCCTCCTATGTGAAAGAAGGGCAGGGCATCAGCACCCAGGGGAGTTGTCCAGGCCTGGACCTCAATCTCCATCAGCCTCAGCTTCTGTGGAGCGCCCCTGGCTGTGTCCACCCCCCACCTTCCCCAGAGCGTGCCCAGAAGTTGCTAGTGGTGTCCACATGTGATTGAGTAGAAGGGGCTGTCCACTTGGACATTTCTGGAAGGAAGGTCTGCCAGAGGAGCGTGGACTCCCTGGGGCCAGCCGAATCTCCCTCTCCTCTGCCTCCGAGCCTGCGCTCCCTCTCCTACTCCTCCTCCTGACTTCTACAGGTAGGGGGTTCTCCTAGGTCCCTTCTCACCCAGGTGATCTTGCCTGCCTTTAAATACTACCCAGGTGCTGATGACTCAAGGGCTATCTCCAGTCCCTGTCTCCTGTGCTGGAGACATGTGTCAGCTGCTTGATGAATTGCTTTGGTCCCAAACTCCACCCCTCCCAGTCCGACCCAGCGGACCCCCTGAGATGCTTGGGTGGAAACATTTGTCCCCTCTGAGCCTCTTCTTCCTTGCATTGTGTCACCCTGTGTCCTCTTGGCTCAACCACAAAATGTCTTCTGGTTCCTCGTAGCCTCAGCAATGCTGGCCTCACTGACACCTGTCACTTCTCCACATAGCAGTCAGGATGACCTTGATCAGTCCATCCTTCAGGGCACCCTCCAACAGTGCCCCAACACGTACCTTGACTCTTAAGACCTCTTTCCACCCCTCCAAGTCTCATGAGATCTTCTCATCCTCTGTGCCCAGCCACACCTGCTTCTTCTTGCCTCAGGGCCTTTGCACATGCAATACTCACTGCATAGGCTTCCCTCCCTCACTTTTACACGGTCAGTTCCTCATTCCACCCTAGCCTGGAGGTCCCATACCCCTGCACTGTCCTATCTGGCCACTGTGCCTGGGAGCCCCTTTGTCAGCCTCATGGCATGCCTTCAAGTGTCCTCTACCCACTCTTATCCCCTGGGTTGTTTGTTGACTCGTCTGCTTTGTTTCCACCCTCCCTAGACTGAGTCTTGCTGGGCAGGGATGTGAAATGAGTGGGTTGCCTGTGTGATGTGTGAACCTCCTGTCACCCTCCTGGCCCTTCTCACATAGCCCTAGTGGCGGAAGCTCACCACTTCTCCAGGGAGCTCTTACATAGTCTCATCTCCCCATTACAGCACAGTTGTGACACAGAGACGGTAAATCTGGGTCGGGGGACAGTGAAGACTGAGACAAACATGCTTCAGGGGGTCTGCAGAGAGAAGAGCCCTGTGACCTCGTGGCCTCTCATCTATAGCTGCAGATCCATGGTCCTGAGAGGGAGCCATTAACTCAGAATGTAAAGCCCTGGGCAGTTTACAATGTGGCCTTTAATAATCAGCTGTTTATTGTACAATCTCAAGCAGGTTCTGACGGCATCTCCTAGTTTTATTTATTTAGGAGCTGTGGTTGACTTTTAGGTTTTAATCCTCTGAGCAGCCTACTGGGGCTGCACACATCTTGGAACTCAGCATTCAGGACTACCCAGGCAAGAGGAAGCTTTCCCCACCCCCACCCCGGCCTGGGACAGCAGGGCTGAGCTGCAGCATCTGGTGGGGTCTGAGGACTGTGCCGCTTCTGCGCTAGCTGCATTGGTAGCCAAGAGTCTTTGCCAAGGCCGCTAAACCAGAAGTCCAGCCAGAGAGGAGCTTAGGACCTGGGACATTGTGCAGCCACCCTTTCCCCACCAGGGCTTGGCCTAGGAAACCCTCCTGTACCTGGTACCTGCGCATGCAACGCCTCCTTAGGGATTTTCCTGGTGGGCTTCCCTTGCCATGCACAGTGGCCTGCAGGGCTTTACGAGACGCCAGTCTCCCTGCCAAAAGCCCAGCCATAGCTCCCACCACCGTAAGGATCAAACATAGGCTCCTGATGTGGCTTCAGGCTCCGTGTGATCAGGCCTTTGCTTCTCACCTGCCATCACCATGGCCA